CTGAAATTTATCTAAACTATTGTCATTTTTACCCCCACACTTGGGTCTTTCACCAGGAACTTCCCCATCTGGTTTTGAAGAGAATAAACTTTGCTTTGGAAACATCATTCATTAAGTTGCTTTATATTGTGGAGCCACTTAAGTGTTTCTTGACAAAGAAGTGGTTGAAGATAGCATTTGAAAATGCAGGCAAAGGAAATTCTAAGTTGGCTTTCAGGAGTATGAAGAAAATAAAAACTGGCCAGTTCTTTTTAAACTCCTCTTAGAATGGAGCCATATTAACCTAATAAGAAGAAACTATACCTTTCCTGTGTTGTGAAAAATTTTTTTGATTTCTTACTGAGTCTAAGTGAAACCATTATTAAACAACAATTAAACAATCAACTCTTTGGAAATTTAGGTGAACCCCATATGAAATCATATCAGAACATAATCTACCAAACTAGATAAGAGTAATTTAGTATGGGCTTTGAGATGCTGTTTTGAATGTGCCCCTCTTAAGTTTTCCTCAAAATGTATTAAGAGTCTTAATTCCAAAAAAATCCCCTTATGTGCATATGCATGTGTATGTATTTATGTATATGTGAAATGATTCCAGTAGTTAAGACATGCTTCGGTAATGTTACTCATAGTGGGAGAAATGGTGAATGTAGATACGACCAATGGTGACTGTTTTGTTAATGGAACTTGGAGAAATGCTTATGGAATATATTGCTATTTGGAAATTTGGCTGAAAATGTCAGAGATAAGCATATCTTTGTTTCATGGGTTGACCATTCTTATAAAAATTTTTAAAGATTTTATTTATTTATTTGACAGAAACAGGGAGAGAGCACACTAGCATGAGCCCAGGGGAGGGGCAAAGGGAGAGGGAGAAGCAGACTCCCCGCTGAGCAGGGACCCTTCCTTGGGGCTCAATCCCAAGACCCTGAAATCATGACCCGAGCCAAAGGCAGATGCTTAACTGACTGAGCCACCCAAGCATTCCTGGGTCCACTGTTCTTAAAACTTATTTCTTTCAATATCTAGTTATGCTTCTCCTGTTTTTTCAACATTGGTAAAAACTATGCTTTCAGAAAGATCTTTATCAGTAATAAATCCAAGTAACATTTAGCAACAAAATAATCGTTTGCTAAGTTTTGGAAACCAGGATTAGCATTCTGTAGAATTTATAGTGATTTTCCATTGCAAATAATTCTTATTTTGACATAAATATTTTCCTTTAATAAACTATATAGAAAAGAAGTTGAGTCCTCTGTTTTCTTTTATAATATTTTGTGCTACCTCACATATCTTCTATCAGGGAAGATATGTACTTGATTCTTCAAAAAATATTGATTTTTCCCTTGGTTATAAAAATAAGGTCTGGCATACCTGAATTTGAATCTCAGTTTTGCCACTTTTAAACCATATAACTTCAAACTAATTCTTCTACCTAAAAACAGCATGTTAGTGGCTTATTTAATTTTAGTGAGAATTAAATGAATTTACACAAGCAAAGCATTAATAGAGTATCTGGCCATTAGTAAATGCCTAAAAATTATAACTTTTTATTAATATTTTATAAGTTTATAAATTAAATGAGATAATATCACGTATATGAAATTATACAAACACGTATACTTAGCACAGCATATTGTAAGACAATCAGTGGTAGCTAAAATTTGTAAGTTAAAAGATATGGGAAATAAAAAAAAATGTGCAGAATAAAGGAAAGTTACCTAAAATCTTATTAGCCAGTAACAAAAAGCCAATGTTTAGCTTCTTTTGTTATGTATTATTAAATTCAAGGGAGTCGACACTAGGTGACATCAAGATACACATTTATTTTCAAAGCAAGGAAAATCTTTATTTGGAATTATTGTTAAATTATAAATAAGAACAGAAGTATGTACAATTTGTGAACTGCTTATTTAGTATTGTTGATCTCATAATAATGGCACTTTTTTGAAAAAGCTTGTAAGTTGAAGAAAATGTATTAGTTATAGTTAAAATAACATTTTTGCAAATGGAAAACACACATACACACACGCACCATGAATTATTCAAGTACTATTTTAAAATCATCTGGAACTACTACCTATTACCTGAATTCTTATTACTCAAAGTATGGTCAGTGGATAAGCACCATCAGCATAACAAGCTGTGATAAATACAGACACTTGAGTTTTGCCCTGAACTCATTGAATCAAAAATCTGCAGTTTGATTAATGTGCATATAAATATCACTCATATACCTTTAAATTTGAGAAGCAATCTTTTAAACTAAACCAAGCCAGAGAGGGAGAAAAACAGAAATAAAATTTAGTGGAGTTGCACATATTCTAGCACAATGATTCAGATAGGTAAAAAATAAAAAGTGTTGCTAAACTAATCAAATTTTTATGTCATTGGTTTGTGTGAGTTAAACCAAAGCATATGTCCTGTAATGATAACACTGGTGCCTCAGTTGTACAAGCTTGTATCAGCGTTTTTGACAATTACTGGTTTCCTTTTTGGTATGTTGTTGGTCAGAGCTACTGATAGGACGCAGGTGATTTAAAGAACTGTAAATATTTCACCCTGGCCTGTGCATGCTCACAAAAATTCCTTCTTGAATCCAAAATTTATAGTACATATGTATAAGTGATTGTGTATTGAATCCATGCTGAGAGTACTGCAGTGAGGATACTTTTAGAAAATAATGTAAAGTAATGCATACAATTATAGTCTTTACTTCTTTTAAGGAAAAAACATAAATAAATTCATTTTATTTTTTTAATGGGAGTTGTTTTAATATCTCAAAAGGGCAGGTATACGTGCAGAAGTACGAAAAAAATGATTCTTTCATGATTTTCTATTTACTAATTCTTTAAATGCAATATTCTTTTGTCTTCCTTTCAGGAATAAATAAAAATAAGAATAACTAGTTAGAATATATTTTAACATGTATTCCATCATCCATACATTTATTAAGCAGGAATTTTTAAGCAGAGGCTGTAATCCTGTCCAAATGGATTCCGCATTCCAGTGAGGAAAAGAAATTATAGACAAACAAATTAAAAATATGATTATAGGTTATGATAGGAGGGGGATATGTTGGGATTTCAGGAAAATCCTCTTTGAGAAAGTGACTTGAACTGAGACCCTAAGGTATAAAAAGGATCTAACTACAGAGAATTCCAGGCTTGATTTCCTGAAAAGCAAAGTCCTTTGGTGCTTAAGACCAGGATTTATTATGAGAAGAGCATACAGAGAAGCCCAATAAAAATGAGAGAAATATTGTATAATATTTGAGAGTTAGACTGTAGCCTGTTCATGTCAGAGTTTGTAGGCCATGATAAGATAATTGGATTTTATTCCAAGTACAATAAAGACACTGAAGAATTTTAAGCAGGGTAGTAAAATTATGATTTATGCTATAAAGTCTACCCTGGCTAGAGTGTGAGCAGTGGATTGTAGAAGAGGTCATGAGCAGGATCAGTGAGAATAGGTAGAAGGCTTTGCACTATTCTAGATGATCAATTATAATGGCTTCAACTGGTGAGAGGAGAGAGCTGTTTGGATTCTAGCTCTATTTAGTGTACATAACTACCATGGAAAAGGAAGTTAATTAAAAAAGATCTTCACGTTTCTGACTTGAGTACAAAGGATATGTGTTAATTTCCTAGGAAGTAGGGACTACCTAGGAAAGCATGAGAGGAAATTTAAGAATTCAAGTTTGGAGTAAGTTTAAAATGTAATAGATACCTTGGAGATTAAGACAATGGGCTCTGGGGAAGGTTCAAATCCTACCCTAAGTGGTTAATAGCAGTGGATCATGAATAATTTACTTAAGCTGTATCTTTGTTTTCTCATCTTTAAAAGAAAGGGGGGTTAATAATACCTACCTTACAGTGTTGTTGTAAATATTAGATAATTCCTATAAAATGGTAAGAATAAGCAACAAAATAATAATTATCACTATTATGAATGCTCACACAATGAGTGATGTCAAGTAGAAAAGCTGGCATACAAGTTTGAGGTTTGAAGGAACATGACTGACATTCCAATTCTTTTAAGAAAGGATTACTATCAAATTAACATGTTGTACACCTTAAATTTATACAATGTTATATGTCAAGTATATTTCAGTTAAGGAAGGCAGAAAAAAAAGAAAGCTTTTCACCTCATTATACTTACTTTGAGTTAATAAAAACTGTCCCAGGATAGCTTTTACTGTTTGGGTTTTTTTTGTTTTTTTGTTTTTTTGTTTTTTTTTTTTGGTCAACTTACCTTTCTCCTTTACCCTTCTCTCTTTCTGTGGGTTGCGCAGGAAAGTTGACACAGAGCTGGGAAGTAGCAGAAGTTCCATTCCATCAAGACAATGGAAAAGTCAGATTCTAATTCTAGAAAGAACATTTCATTTCCCTTTTTCAACTTTACAACTATTCCAAAAGTAGATTTTAGCTTTTAATTGATTGTATTGAAATTTCCTGCATAAATAGACCATAACCATTTTTGATAACAGGTTATCAGATCATCCATTGATTACTGAAACCACAAGGGGTAATCTGGAATTTGTATGTTGACTTTATTGTCCAATTAACCTTTGAAATGGCAGGTTGATTGACACAGCAAAAATACTTTCTCTTTCAGGTCTACATTGTAACAAATTGTAACAAAATATCATTTTTACTTCTGGAGTGGAACATTGATTTCTTCAGCTATATAAATGTATTTGAACATGAGTTTGATCCATTTATCTATTTAATAAAAAAAGAAAGAAATTCAATGAATGCCTGGGTGGTAGATATTTTGTCATGTTCTGAGAATTCCAATAAACATGACAACGTACTTGTTTCAAGATGCAAAACCCCAAATATGTCAAGTGGCTTAGTCCCTATTGTGTTTCTTTAAAAGCTTTATAAAACAGGTGCTATGTAAATTTGAATTATTGTCGTTGTTGTCATTAATATATGGAGATCCTTAAAAGCAAGTATCCTTTTTTAAACATGTTTTCTTCATTTATTTTTTGGTAGCCTCAAAACAGAGTCATGCAAAGAGGCTCAGAAAAGAACATGGAAAGTAGCCACCATCAGCATGAGGAGCCCAACAACTCAGCCTGGTAAGTGGAAAAAGTGATGCATGGGTATCTTTTTCTGTGTGTCATTAAATCTGCTGAGATTGCTTTTTATGCAAAAAAATCCTCATAGTTTACAAACAAAAATGAGAGAGGGTCTAAAAGGAGAATGTCTATGACATTGATTCTCATTACTTCAAAGACCTTAGGAAGTTGTTATTTGGCAGGAATAGTCACAGCATTTTGTTATACACAGATAATGGTGTTACAGTAGCTACATGACCTTATGAAAGTTTCTTAATCTTTGAGTCTTAGCTTCCTTGTTTGAAAATGGAGATGATGGGGGTGCCTGGGTGGCTCAGTTGGTTGAGCATCAGACTCTTGGTTTCTGCTTAGGTCATGATCTCAGGGGTCTTAAGATCAAGCCCTGTGTCAGGGGGCTCTGCTCTGGGTGTGGAGCCTGGTTAAGGTTCTCTCTCTCCCCCTGCCTCTCCCTTCCCCACCCCTGCTCGCACATGTGCACACTCTCACACTCTCTAAAAAAAAGAAAAAAAGGAAAGGAAAGAAAATGGAGATTATGGTAGTTATATTGTTATGTTTTCCTAAGAACTAAGTAAGAAACAGCATATAAACAGTCAGTTAGTTTCTTTAGCATAAAGAGGTTAAAGATATAAGACTAGTATTTACTGAATACTTTCAATGTGCCAAGTACTAAATGCTAACTACTTTACTGCATTGTTTTATTGAATACTCACAATGCTTAAAGGTAGAAGCTATTATTATTCTCATTTTACAGATGAAGAAACTGTACTATTGAAATTATGACTTGTCTTTAAATCACAAACTGCTGACAATTGAGTGCAGTCTTGTCTGATGCCAAAGTTTCTGTACTTTCATTCATTCATAAAGTCAACAAACATTTATTGGGCAGCTAACAAATGCCAGGTTTCCCTTAGCTGAGATGCCATGCTATTTCCTGAATGATTATTGCTTAGAATATAATAACTGTATATTCATAAGATGCATTATAGTTTACAAATAATATATGAATAAGTAATTTTATTATTGATATACCCTGTAGGGAAGACAAAGTAGGGATCATTATGTGTATTTTACAGATGGAAAAATTGAGGTCCCAGGAGGTTAACTGGCTCACTGGGTGTCTTACGCTCAGTGCTTTTCAGACTCTATGGGTTAAGGGTCAGTTTTTTTGTGCTTTTTTTTTTTTAAGTTTTTATTTAAATTCCAGTTAGTTAACATAGAGTGTATATTTGTCTCAGGGGTACAATATAGTGATTCAACACTTGCATACAATACCCAGTGCTCATCACAGCAAGTGCACTCCTTAATCTTCATCACCAATTTAACCCATTCCCCCACCTACCTCCCCTCTGGTAACCATCAGTTTGTTCTCTATAATTAAGAGTATGTTTCTTGGTTTGCCTTTCTCTCTCTTTTTTTTCCTTTGCTTATTTGTTTTGTTTCTTAAATTTTACATGTGAGTAAAATCATATGGTATTTGTCTTTCTCTGACTTATTTCACTTAACATAATACTCTCTAGCTCAATCCATGTCATTGCAAATGGCAAGATTTCATTCTTTTTTATGGCTAATATTCCATGGTATACCATATATACCAAATCTTCTTTATACATTCTTCATTTGAAGGATGCTTGGACTGTTTCTATAATTTGAGTATTGTAGATAATGCTGCTATAAACATCGGGATGCACGTATCCCTTAATACATTTGAATCCTTTGCAGACTGAATGTTTTTGCAAACATTAATTACCAGAGAAATAAAATGATTAAAAGGCAGACACAAAATACTTAAGTCCACATATTTATTAGTTGTTATTATTCTGCAGACTTAAAATTATAAAATGGCTATAAAAGATTTTAATGCTTTCTCTCCATGGTCCATTTTCCATACTTCTCATGGTGTAGACCAGTTAGCATTTGAAGATTAATACTAGCCTGTAGACCAGACAGTAAGCCTTTCAGCACCAATAGAGCTAATAAGAGACAGACGTCATGTTCAGTCCCAGACCTTTGTCCTTCAAATCCAAGTCTTTTCATGTTACTCCATAGACTTCAACATACACACGAAACCTGTGTTATGGTCTAAGGTATGAGGAGATCAAATTCCTAATTGTTCAAATGAAACAGAGGCAAGAAAACTGACACCAACAAAACATCTTTAAAGAGTTATAGGAAACAGCATGAAAAAATGTGGAAAACAATTGAAAGTTTATAGGAATGATTTCTTTTAAATTTACATATCAGAAATCAAGACTTAAAATTTTTGATATGTGATATATTGTTAAAAGACTTTCTCAAAATATGAGTTTTTTTCTCTTTTCATTCTGTTTATTTTTGGAAAAGAGGAGTTAGGTTGTATTTAGAAGACTGGGGGGCGCCTGGGTGGCTCAGTCATTAAGCGTCTGCCTTCGGCTCAGGTCATGATCCCAGGGTCCTGGGATCGAGTTCCGCATTGGGCTCCCTGCTCTACGGGAAGCCTGCTTCTCCCTCTCCCACTCCCCCGGCTTGTGTTCTCTCTCTCACTGTCTCCTCTGTCAGATAAATAAATAAAATCTTAAAAAAAAAAAAAAAAAAAAAAAAAAAGACTGGGCCTTATCAGTTCCTAAGCAGCGTATAGACCTTGTATAATTCTAAGAGATAAAAGTGGAACTTGGCCAGCTATGAAATGAAAATGAACTCATCTTACCACTGTATTGAAGGGTCCTGAAAATAAATGTTACTTTTTTATTTCAAAAACTACTATTGGGCGCCTGGGTGGCTCAGTTGGTTAAGCGACTGCCTTCGGCTCAGGTCATGATCCTGGAGTCCCAGGATCGAGTCCCGCATCGGGCTCCCTGCTCGGCGGGGAGTCTGCTTCTCCCTCTGACCCTCCTCCCTCTCATGCTCTCTGTCTCTCATTCTCTCTGTCTCAAATAAATAAATAAAATCTAAAAAAAACTACTAAAGAGGGGGAGAGGAAAGATGGCGGAGGAGTAGGGGACCCTATTTCAACTGGTCCCCGGAATTGAGCTGGATATCTACCAGACCACCCTGAGCACCCACGAAACCAGCCTGAGATGTAAGAAGATCTGGATCTCTACAAACAGAATATCGCTGGCTGTTGGTTTCGAGGTACAAAGCAGGGAGTCATGATTCTGTGGGCAGATATTGGAGGATAAACAGCAGTGGGAGGGTGCCTGGCCGTGGGGATCCTACAAGGCCAGTGAGCGACAGCCTTGCGTGCTGGGGATGGGCACAGACTCACAGACCAGTAGCAGCGGGGAAAGGACTTTAGGGAAGCCCCCGGGGCAGAAACCCGGAAACTCAGAGCAGCAGGGTCGCACCTGCAAACTGGGAGCAGCTGGCGGTTTTAGAAGCACAAAGGGCAGAGACGGGCCCCAACCTGGAGGCAGGACTGGGGGCACTGCGGAGGGGCGCACAACCCAGGCTGCTGCAGTTTATAGCAGCACGGACAGAAACGGAGATGGTGTGGCCAGGAGAGCTCACTGAAGAACAGACTGTGATCTCTCTGCTCTGAGTCAGAGGGTTGGAAACGGTCTCTTTTGCTCTGACTCGTGGAAGAGATGCAGAAAGCCACCAGGGAAAGCTGCCAGAGAACAAAAGCCCCCAAAACTGATTCCCACTGAGCCCATCCCCCACCACAGGGGGGCAGGGAAACTCCGCCCAAACAGGGTTGCCTGAGTAACAGCAGCAGGCCCCTCCCGCAGAAGACAGGCTGGGAAAACAAGAGGCCAGCAACCCTAAGGTCCCAAGAAACCAGGTGCATCTTGCTTGGGTTCTGGTCAATAATTTGGACTCTGTACATTCCCTCAAACACCCATCAACAGAATGACTAGGAGGAGGAGCCCCCAAAATAGAAAAGACTCAGATTTATGACTTATGCTGCAGATTTACAAATGGATGCAGATATAACCAAGATGTCGGAGATGGAATCCAGACTAGCAATTGTGAAGACAATGGCTAGAATGGAGAAATCAATTAATGGCAACATAGAGTCTTTAAGGGCAAAAATGAAAGCTGAATTGGCAGAACTTAAAAATGCTATCAAGGAGATCCAATCCAATATAGATAATCTAACACCTAGGGTAAGTGAGGCAGAAGAATGAATAAGTAACCTGGAAGACAATATAATAGATAAAAAGGAAAAAGAGGAGGCCAGGGAAAAACAACTCAGAATCCATGAAAATAGAATCAGAGAAATAAGTGACACCATGAAGCATTCCAGTGTCAGAATAATTGGAATCCCGGAGGGAGTGGAGAGAGAGAGAGAGAGGACTAGAACATGTATTTGAGCAAATTGTAGCTGAGAACTTCCCTAATCTGGGGAATGAAATAAACATTCGCATCCTAGAGGCAGAGAGGACCCCTCCCAAGATCAAGGAAAACAGGCCAACACCCCGGCATGTAATAGTAAAACTTGCAAATCTTAGAACCAAGGAAACCATCTTAAGGGCAGTTAGGAGGAAGAGATTCCTTACACACAGAGGGAGGAACATCAGAATAACGTCAGACCTGTCCACAGAGACCTGGCAAGCCAGAAAGGCCTGGCAAGACATATTCAGGGTACTAAATGAGAAGAACATGCAGCCAAGAATACTTTATCTGGCAAGGCTTTCATTTAGAATGGATGGAGAGATGCAGAGCTTCCATAACCGGCAGAAACTGAAAGAATATGTGACCACTAAGCCGGCCCTGCAAGAAATATTAAGGGGGGTTCTATAAAAGGAGAAAGACCCCAAGAGTGATATACAAGAGCAATTTACAGGGACAATCTATAAAAACCACGTCTTCACAGGCAACATGATGACAATAAATTCATATCTTTCAATAATCACTCTCAACGTGAATGGCCTAAACGCTCCCATAAAATGGCACAGGGTTGCAGACTGGATAAAAAGACAGGACGCCGGGGGGCGGAGCAAGATGACGGAGGAGTAGGAGACCTGGATTTCGTCTCCTCTCAGGAATTCAGCTGGATAGGGATCAAACCATTCTGAACACCT